AAGTCTTGAAATCATAAGCATTTAATCTTAAGTACTTATTTTATCCAAAACAACAAAATTTATTGCATTTGGTTATATACTTCATAATTTTCACCACATGATTGTTTCAAGAATCAAATACTACCACTAACTTAAGTGTATGCATTACTATATTTGCTAAGCACTACCAAATTATGATCTTCATGAAATAAGAAAATGTACAAAAAAGGACAACTGATCACTCTTAAGCTCTTAACTCAGGTTAAAGGATTGAACTTAAAAGAGGTCAGTTTTTTATTTTGTTGAACCTTTTGTTTATTATTAAGGGGACTATCTAATTAGAAATGGTTGAAAATTTTCCCCACTTCGTTCATTTGTCTCCAATAATTGAGATTGGTTGCAATAAAGATTGTTGATATCTCCATTAATTGGATCCATTAATTAGAAACTGAGTCAAAGATCCCCTTTGCCAATTTAATTTATTTTATTTTCTAATACCCTTCATGTGAATACAACAAATACTCTGTTTTAATATTTTTCATGTCAATACAATATTTTCATGCATGTTTCTCTATAGTTATTTTTCTTCATGTTTCTTTTAAGGTTACTTTTAATATAATTATAGTATTACTTATTTGATTCCTAGACATTATATATGGCTTTGATTTTCAAGGCAAATCTCGAAAATATTAATTACAATTCATCACTTTAGTAAGAATATCCTTAAATCTTTTAGTTTTATCCACCAACTTTAGCTTGATGGAAACTTTTATTTGAATGATTAGTCATTCAATTTCATTTAGATTTCAATCATTTAGAATTTTTTAAAAACTTGTGGCTTTGAATTCCTAGAAACAAATTATCGTAAAAAAATATTAATTAATAGCAAGTTTCATAAAAAAATTTTATCGTGACTTAGATTGAAGTTAAAGCACAAAGGATGTTATGTCTTTTATTTTTTGAAATGGTACATTATGTCATCGACTTCATGCCGTGATTGTGTACATGTGCCTTTGATCATATGAGATTTATCAAGATCTTCACTTCATTTTTCAAAATAGAGTACGTTCAACAAAATATTTTCTTTTCTTTTAAGGGCTTCATATTATTGCTTTGAAGAGATTAGAAAATCCTAAAATTTCTATGACTTTGTAAAAATTTGGTGTAAAATAATTACAAAAAGAAAAATTATCTGGCATATTAATTTTGAGTAAATAGTTACTTCTAAAAATAGGGAAAAATATGTGGTATGATGTTTTCTATTATCTTGAATTATTTTTTTCTTTTAGGTGCTAACTTTGACGAGAATGGTATGATGCTGCAAATATATATATATAAAATACTTTTTTGACTTATTCTTTCAAATGTGCTTTTTTTCAAAGTTTTTTAAGGCAAGTAACTTTTATAGTAGATGATATTAGCTATGTTTGTAAGGATGAAAAACACTACCAACTAGTTCTCTCACTAATACATTATTTATCTGTTTTTCTTAAATTCACATAATACTGTAATTAATACATATAAAAGTATATATTTTATTTACTCATAAAACATATTACCTTTGGTCTAAAAAAATAACAAACATGGTACTAATTTTGTTATCTGTTTTTGCCAATCTCATGACGTTTTTTGCTTTGGACTTATTTTTTACCTTTATTTTGATCTAATTTTTAATGTTGTGAATTATTCTCTTTTTATGAATAGTAAATGCAACAATATATATTTAACGCTTGAGATGATTGGAAATGACATGATGTTTAGCAAACAAGACAAAGCCGAGTTGTCCGCACTAACATCATTAAAAAACAAAGTCATGAACCCTAAAGATATTGATATTTTATATTGCTTGTCACCTGTCAGTCATAAACAAAAAGGATTGAAATTATATATATATATATATAGATAATTCTTTTTCTAGCTCAAAAAATAAATAAGTTCTTTTGCTATAATAAAAGTAAATAACAAAAAAAGAAAAGCTGATCAATAACAAAATTTTAAATTTAATAAAATAAAATATTACGAGTTTATAAATAATAGTTTTCTAGAATTTAAAATTTAAAATTCATAAAAAAACTTTTTTATAATAACATTGTTGACTCGAAGATCGTTTTCTTATTGATAAGAATGTTTTGCACCGGTGGTTGAAGTTAACATTAAAATGGAGAATCGAATATTGAATACATCAAGTAATCTTCAATTAATTGGCTTCAAGGCGTGTTTATATAAACAATTTTTTTTTTTAAACTCGTTTCTCTTCCATTAGACATTGTCATGCAAAGAAAATAACCGAAATAATATACAAGATACAATAAAGCCCTTGTTTGAACTCATTTTAAATTAATGAAGTTCAAATCACTAAACACCTTTAAAAGAGATGGTAAACACTAGTTTTAGGCTTGTATTTTCTGCAGCAAACAAAATTTAAGTAATTTATTTCTAATTTGTAAGTGAAAGGGAGAGAATTCTAGACTCGAGGATGTTTGAAGTACGTACAAATGTGTTGTAACCTTTTCTATTTATAAAATACTGACTCAAAGGTTATGTTTCTTATATTGAGTTAATTCAAACAAACAATTTGTTATTTCATTAAGAACACACTTTTTCCAAATGATTATTTATAGTTACCATTTGCAACTTTTTAACTGGTAAAATATTATTCTTGAATCATTACAATTTATAGGAAAAGAACCCAAAACTTTTCAGCATAAAACATAATTTTTAGTGCTTGGACAGTTGAAACTTCCCTACCAGTGAAGTTGACTTCCCCTTTGAGTTTCAGTTTGCAAAATGATTTGTTACATAGGGCAATCAACTTCCTGAACATAATTATCAACTAGAGGCTCAGAATTGGACTTCCTTTATTAAGGCATTTGAATGCCTTTGTTAATTTCTGAAATAAATTACAAATGAGCTCAAGTTAGTTGACTTCCTTACAAACCAAACTGACTTTCTTAGTGTATTTTCGTACCAAAATGCTTTTAACATTTACATTGGACTGCTTATGCTACAGAATTCAAATTACACTTGCAAGAAGTCCTTTAGATCTTTTCTTTCACTATTTATACTATACCAAAACTAAATTTAAGCTTACAAAGTTAAATCTAAACTTTGCCAACTTAATTTCTCAACTATCTTTCACTATTTTAAAAATAATTTTAACATAGTATTAATATGTATGTATTGTAAACTTTAATTAGAAGTTTTTTTTTTTTTTATACATATGAAAATTTATTCAATTTCAAACAAAAAAGTATTTATTTTTTTGTATACAAAATTTTAAAGTTTAGCTTTTGAAATATCCTTCAAAGCCAAATCAATTAATCACCGGTTAATGTTTCAAAAAAATCACCGTTTAATTATAAAGATAGTATCTTCAAGTGTTTAAACAAAAATATTTAAACAAAGTGTTTGTTCTAAACTCTAACTTTAACTCAATTAGTTTATGCAATCAGAGAAATGATATTTAATAGGTTTGAGTTTTAATTTCATTAGATACAACTTAAGAATGTAATCGAATTGAGCTGAACCGATACATTGCTATGCTCGAGCTCGATTGAAAATTTTTAGCTTAAAGCTCAGCTTGAGCTTGACTGAATTTTATTTTTCAAGCTCGAACTCAACTCGAAATAAAGCTCAAGTCGAGCTCAAGCTCGTTCAATTAATCTTCATATTTAGTAAATGTCATTTAAATACTTTAATTTAAACACTATAACTATATTGAATTAAGGTCTCGTTTTATAATACCTCAGGAGCTAATGAAACTATTTTAGTGAAATTTAACTATCTCAATTCCCAGGTGATCACACCAAAAATTCAAGTTCCTTTTGGATTTCCTTCTTAATCAATGACAATGACATTGTCATCATATTGTATTATCATACCGTTATCGTGTTTGAATTCTTTACAAGTACATACAATTACAGCTCTAATCAATCCTGATCTTTCTAGAGGTGCATTTGATACTGCTTCCTTGATCACAGCAACAATAACATTACCAATATGAGCATATCGGCGATTACTAGCTCCTATGACTCGAATAGACATTAATTTTTGGGCCTCGCTGTTATCTGCTACGTTCAAATGGGTCTGAGGTTGAATTTTTTCTAATCTCATCTTTCAATGAAACAAAGGACGAAGACAAAAAAATATTGTTTGTCAAAAAGAAAAGAAAAGAAACCTGCAATATCAAATTAACGTGATTGACAGCAAAATTCCAATTTAACTAATCAAGACAACTACACTTAACAAATTAATTATTAAAAAAACAAAAACTTAACAAATTAAATCTAAATAATCAAGAGTTAACAAGACAGTTAAAGAAAGGTTTTAGCATAGAATCGGACAGCAATTTCCAAGGTCCTATTTTGGAAATCAAGACAATGAACTCAAAATGAAATAAAAAAAAAACTCAGGGACCTTACCTGGAATTGGTACTACAATCAGACCTGGTGCTATTGATGGAGAATACTTGCTGCTGCCATTAGCTTGAAAGGGGCATTGTTGGCTGGAGCAAGGATCGTCGAATCGAGCTCAAGATAGAGAGAGGAAGAAAATTTTAACGATGAAAGCTCAAAGGAGTAGAAAGGAAAGGAAATGGGTGGTTGGTGGGAATCTGGGAAGGGTTTGGAAGGAGGATAAGGGCGCCTGTATATGGAGAGGGATCGGGAGAGTGGGAGTGAAAGTGAAAGAGACAGAAATGGGGCATACGAGAAGAGTGTTAGAATATTAAATGAGTATGAATAGTGATGTTTAGGGTTTTTTTGTTTTATATATATTTATATATATATATTTAAGGATAAATTTGTAATTTTAAATTAAATAATAAAAATATTTATTAAAATAAAAAATCCTGATTAAGTATTCAAATTATTTGAATCAAATATTATAATATTTAAAATTGATTTGATCAATAATTTAAACTATTCAAATTCAAGTTTTATTAAACAATGATCGAATCAAATTAAAATTTTTTTTTTTAATTCAAGCCCATATAACTTATAAATAAAAATGTATATATTTTTTTTAATTCAAGCCCATATAACTTATAAATAAAAATGTATCATTTACACCCGTAATACAACTTCTTCTATCTCAGGTATGCGACCTCCTTTTTGTTTAAAAAAAAAAAAAAGTGCTGCATGAAATGTTTGAATCTCAAATCAAAGGATTTTCCATAAACAATGAGAGGAAACTTTCAAATGGTAAGGATGAAATGCCATTTACCATATTCTGCAAGCATGAGCGTCATTATATCAGGTGAGTTACTCAAGTTGAAATTTGATCAACGTCAAGCTCAAGAGACTGGATCTTAGCTCAACTGATAAGGTTACTGCTCTCTCTTGTACCTAAAAGAACAAAACTTAAACCTTGAGTACCTTCTCCTTTGTATAGTAGAATATGAAGTTATGGATTGCTTTTACCATACATTATATGATAAACATAAAGTTATACTAAGCAAGATTAATCAAAAAACTTGATGTGTAATCTTATTATACAAGCTAGTGTTCTACATGTAACTGTTAAAAATCATTTTGCATGAGATAATGTACAAACTATACCGAACAAGAAAGAATGGTAATGGGAGAAAAAAAAAGGACTTAAAAGATTAACCTCAAATTGTACATTCACAGGTAATGGCAGAAGAAAATGAGAAAAATGAATTTAGGGGGGAAAGAGAAAAGATTTGACTATTGGATTTGGGGGGTATTCAATTCCTTCTTTAGAATCAGGTTGCCTGACTCATTCCTTTTGAAAAGTTTTTCAACCACCTCATCCCAGTTAGTCCTAGAACTTGGCTCAGTTTTAGCCTTCGGGCTGTCTCCTTTGTCAGCTTGGGCAGGTTCTGTTTCCGTTTCCTTGTTCTCTGTCGATTCATCCACCATGGATACAGCATGAGGTATATTCAAACTGACGGCTCTTTCCAATGCATCTTTGTGTTCTTTCTCAATGGTCTGCAACCTCTCAATTTTCTGTATTTTGGGGGGAACAGACATTGTCTCTGATTTGTTCTCCCTCGTAATCTATAGGAACAAACCATTAGGCTAATGCTTCCAGCATGCTTGACAGGTTCAAAGAGTATTGATGAATAATCCAACCAAAAAGGAGAAAAACTCACCTTCAAAGCCTTCTCTGCTTCCCTTTCTATCCAAAGTATTCCATGATCAGATGTCGCATTACAAGATAAGACAATATGTTCAAACCTCCCATCCACAGGAATAGCTGTTCTGACTTCCGGGGGAAACCTCCCGCATCTACAATGACATAGTAACTTAATATCAAATAAAATGAAGCATAAGTATTAACTGCATCACCTATGTAGCAACGTCCTTTAAAAAGAGACAACTTCACCATAATTTAAGATATAATTGTAAACAGTTGTTCGGAAAGGAACCTTCTAATTTCAAGTCCATTTCCGACTAGGGGGAACATAAAAGGCAAACTACAAACAAATCTAAGCTTCAACATAGCCGAAGGGAAAAGAATTTTTGTTTGCATAGCAACAGTCATTGAAACATTCACCAAATGCATTTGTCGATGTAAATATCAGGAAGAACCAAGAGTCTGAAAATGTTGGTACCTGCAAAATTTTCTCTCTACAATATGATACATTCGTCCAGGTGCATAAAGTCTTCTTGGATCTGCAAGTTTTCTGCCTTCTGGTATGAAGGTATCCCTCAAGCAAACAAGAAATAACAAGCAGGGCAAGCTGTCCAAAGCATCATGGCCTAGTTTAAGGGATGGTAATAGTAGAAATAACAATTCACTCCACTAAGTATCCAAAGAAAGCTCTAAGAGAAGGATAAATGAAAAGGAAAAGACTAACCAGAATATTGACTTGAAAATATCCTCCAACGGGGTGGGTGTCCTAGGCAAGAAATCATCCTGGATAGCAATTACAATTTCATGTTAGGGGGATTTTAACAATCTAAATTCACTAAGTCAAGGACAAAGCAAGAACGAAACCAAAATGGAGACTATGAACAAAAATAACTATTTTGCTTTCCATGTCACTCATCAAATAAAAGTATGAACAAAAGTATAAGCAAGAACAAAACCCCTTATTCCTTTCCATGTCACTCATCAAATAAAAAAGTATACTATTTTGCTGCTTTCTATAATCTGGGATATACATTAATAAAGGCGTTTAATTCTGTGTTTGACATGTGGGGAAAACGAAGGCAAGAAAGAAAGAGATGGACGGAAAAGGCAGAGGGAAAACTATTTTCCCATATTTGGTAGGGAGGAAATAGGAAGAAGTAAGGAAATTCAGTGAATTTGCACTTTACCGCCTTCTCAACATGCGACTTCCGTTTACAATAAAAATGAAAGGAAAAACGCATCCAACCAAAACTATATTTTATAAACTTTCTTCTTTCCACAGGGGAAAAACAAAATATCTTCCTTTCCTCCCCTTCTTCTTTCCTGCCAAACATATATGGTAATAAACTTGAACCTATTGATCTATCAGCATATAAAAGATACAATTTTCAAAACAAATCAAAGATTTCAAAATCAAAACAAAAAACCCAGAACCAAAATGACAAAACAATTGAACAATTTGAACAAAAAGATTAAGTAAAACCACCTGCAATACAATAGAGTGAATCACATCAGCATACTTAACTGCCAAGTTAAGTGACATACACCTCGCCGGCGCCACAGCGTAGCAACTAATTTTACGCCGGGGAATCCCACCCAACCTATCCCTATGATTAACTACCACAACCGTCAGCAACGCCGCCACGCCCGACCCCAACGAATGTCCAGCAAAAATCATCTGATATTCCCTCCCAGTCTCTTCCCAAACCCTCTTCAACGTCTCACTCTCCTCATTCAACAACCAAACCGCCGATTTCAACAGCCCGTAATGAACATATCCCCCATCAAACATTTGCATTCCTAACCGATTATTCAAAAGCAATTTGTAATCACTTTCTTTAGCCAGGTTGAGCCCCCTGATTGCTAACACGATTTCTTTCCTGTCATGGTCGGCGTAGATAAGGTAAGGAGGAGCTTGACCGAGGGTCTGTTCATAGTCGACGCGTTTCAAGATCCAGTCTGGGTTGAGTCGATATCCGCCATCGAGATGGAACTGGGGGTTTCTGAGATCAGTTTCGTAGATAGCTAGGATTAAACGGCAGACTCTTGGGACGGGTTCGAACTCGTCAGGTGTAGCTAATGGCCAGGTTTTACTGTCGTCTGAACCAACGTAGGTACAACGTTTCCATGCCCAGTGTGAACAGCCGAGTAAAACTACGCACTCAACACCGCAAGATACTGACATTTATTGTGGAATGAGAGAATTGAGTAATAGCTTTTGCTATTGTTTGTAATAAAAGCAGGGGAAATTGAAAGAGAGAGAGGTGGGAATGGGGGGGAGGGGGGATTCCAGAGAGAGAAAGGAGGCGGAAAAGAAGATTCGGAAGATTAAGGGAATTACGCGGGGGAGACTAACACAGCTTATAAAAGATTTTTTTTTTTTTTTCTTTTTCGGACATCCCACAAATTTTGAACTTTGAACGAGTTTTCGTCTTGTTGTCATTGTTGCTTTGGTCAACATTGGTGCTTGTCTTTAAGCTCCAAGGGATTCGATTTTTTTTTTTTGTGTAAAAAAATATATATAGCGCGGGGGGAAGCTTCTTCAATCAAAATCATAGTTGATAACAGGCTTGATAAAAAATGTTTCATTGATTAAAAAAATTATTAACAATAAAAATTTAATTTAACTTTTACAAACGAAATCAACCAAGTCTATCTTTATTTGAATTTTCAAGATGGAATGGGTTCTTTTAATTAATTTAATTATTAGGTTAAAGGTCTACTCATTTAATAAAACTTATTTAATTTAAAATTTATTATGAAATATTAAAAATATTATTATATTAATATTTTAATATTAATTATTAATTATTTAATAAAATAATTTTTTCTCCAGCTAAATCAGATCAAACAAGAACTTGGAAATTTTATTCTAATAGGGTTAGGTCTCAGGAGTTGGCAAGCCACCCAACCAGTGGATGGATCTAGAACAATGTAATGTATAAATAATATTGTAAAAAGTCTTAATCGAACTTTTCTAAAATTATCTTTTTGGTTCATTTTTTATTTTTTTTTAAATTATATTTTTAAATAATATTGTAAAAAGTTTTAACCCAATGTTTTAAAATATATTTGTCAAGATCATAATATTTGAACAACATAATTTTTTTAAGGAATAAATGAATTTAATTAAATGTTCACCAGTCCTAATGTTATTGTTGTAAGCGTGGGGGCAATAAAAAGATGGCAGCTGTCATTGTTGACACTTATTGCATATTAATGTTATCAGTAACAACTAATAATGAGATTAACAATTAACTAATTATTATAAAAATAAAGCACAGCTCTTACGCTTTCCCCTCTCACGTGGATTAGTAAATTTCTTTTGAATTTTTTAAACATTTAGAGGGAATAATTTTTTTATACATAAAGGTTTTGCTAATTTAATATTTATAAATTTTAATTATTAGATTAATAAATTTTTCATTTTTAAATTTTTTTCATCATTCTTATAAAATAAAGCCTAAAATTTTTACTCAAATCTCACGTTATTTTTGAAAAAAATAAGGCTAATTTAATATTGAGATTGAAAATGATTTTTACTTCAAAAGATTCCTTTGAATTTACCTTAATTCTAAATAAAATATATATATATATATAATTTTTAATTTAAAAGTTTGATTTAAAATCCCAAACCAAAAGGTTCTTTCAAAAGTGTTTTAGCAGTCGACCTCAAGTTTTTGCAGTTCTTAAAGGAGACAATGCCTTTATCACATCAAAGTTAAATTATAGAAGATGTTTAAGTGATCTGGACAATGGAACTTTGCCAGGAGAAGAATAAGAATTCTTACCAAATTAAGGACAGCCAAGTCCCCAATAATATGCCTCTTTTGAAGATTTTTCTTGTTCATTTCTCCGTCACACACAATTCTACAAAAGGAAAGTAGTAATAAATGAAGCATGGCATAAAACAATCAATGAAAGAGTTTTTACATGTTGGATTTTTTTCTTAAGAAACTTAAATATTTGGGTTTTTAGTTAAATTTGTGATTGTGAATATGGATTTTTAAAAAAAAAAAAATTAGGATTTTTATATTTATTAAAAAGGATGTTATAAATCAACAATTATATAATCTGTTAATAAAATACTCATAATAAAAATTCAAATTTTGATAAATTCATATAAAAAATGTGTTAAAAATTATTGAAAATATAACTTTTTTTTATTATTATTATATCGGACTTCAATCAAAAAGTGATTCGCATTGCCCAATCATCTCATAATTTTCATTTTAAGTTGTACATAAAACCAAGAACAAAAAGCATAAATTCGCCAAAGTTGATTCCAGACAACAACATATTATTGTAGGCGCATTTCCTTGTTAAAATGTGGATTACCCTTTTTGAATTTTATAATAAGAATTGTGCGCTTAATCCGTGTCAACAGAAATTTCAACCCAAAGCTACAACAACCAATTCTTTGCCATTTGAATACGTGGAAAGGAGGTTTTGTCATACAATGATTAAATAGATTGAAACCTCTTGAGATTCTTATTCAAAAAATAATAATAATAATAATGTTTGAAAATACTTTTACATACAACTTCAAAGCTTTATAGTTTTTCAATTGTTTTCTAGTGGTGTATATGTTTTCTAAAAATACATTATTTAGTTCAATTGATTCGTAATATCATTTTTAAGAGTTGAGTTTTAATACATTTAAAATTTAAATTTTAATACTTATAATTTTTTTTATATTTTTAAATTGTGACCTTCCTTTATATAAAAGATATAATTTTTAAAAAATATATAATTTGAATCCAATCTTTTAGAGTAGAGGATTCATATGCATTTATCATAATCAAAGGCTCAAATATTTTTAATTTTTGAGAGAAATCAACTTACATCATTGTAAAATTTTTTAATTTTATGCATTTTTTTAATTATTTATTTCAATAAAATTGTTATGTGTTTTATAAAATTATTTAAATCAATAATTAAAAAAATATAAAAGTAAAAAATTTTACACATATAAATTGATTTTACTCTTTTTATTTTATATAAATATGTAAAAGCAAAAGATTTAAAAAAAAAAAAAAGTATCCTTACGTCAATAATTTTAAAAGATTGCTTCGTGTGCTATAATAACTTTTTGACGAAATTAATTACAATTAGTCAGTTTTGACTAACCAATACGCCTGCCATCAATAAATAAATTACTAATCAAATAGTCTTAAATATTCACTCGAAACTAATTTTAATTTTTAATTAGATTAATTGGTCCTGGTTACATTTGTTTTTTTTTTTTTTTTTCTTTTCCTTTCTCTTGAATGTGAAGAGTTTTGTTTCTATACTATATATGTAATATGAGCAAACTTGACTATGTCTATAAGCTAATAAAAGCACTAATGGAATTTTTCATCAATTAATTACCTCTCCAATTGACGTTTTGGAACTAATTTTAAGTTGCCTTATAAAATAGTTTTTCATCAATTAATTGACGTTTGACATTACTGTTTTAAAAAATTGGATATGAGAAAAATATGTTTAAAAAATGTTATAAAAAATTATTATAAAAAAAAATCATTTAAAATTTTTAAGTGTTTAGTTTTACTGTAAAAAATTAAAATATCTAAAATCTACATGATATTCATAAGGAAGAAACGGCTTATTTTTGTCAAAAATAAATAATTAAATGGCATTTGATAATTTTATTTTTAAATCATAAATTTCAAGCCGCAACATTTTTTAATTAGTTTTTGTGCTTGGTTCATTTTTAATAAAAGTGATAATGATTTAGATTAGATTAGATTGAATTTGATTTAATTTTTTCAGATATTATATAATATTATAAAGTTTTAAAATTCAAATTAATCTTTCATACGATTTAATTTAAGTTGAACCAAATTTTATTGATACAATTTAATTTATCAATTTTTAAATTTTAAATTTTATTATTTTTTATATATTATTTTAAGGACAAGATCAACTTATACACGTATAAAACTAAAATGTTTATATATTTTTTTTAATAATTAATTTTAATAAATCCAAATAATGAAAAGACAAATAAAAAATGGTTTAACCTCATTTTTTGAATTTATTAAAATCAATAGTTAAAAAAATATAAAAAGTGTAAATTTTTTTTTTTGTGTGACCGAATCCTTTTTTATTATTTTAATATAAAATTTTAATATATTTAAATAGATTTTGATATAAAATAATTATTTTTGTTTTATAAAAAATTAAAAATATATAAAAACTAATAAAAATATATAATTCGATTTTATTCATTTTTTTAGTCTTTTACTTTTTATTTAAAATTTAATTCGAATCTAATATTTATATTTAATATCCAAATTGATAAAAAAAAAAGTTGATTCAAACTAAACCAAATATTACGATTTTGAATTAATTTTCGTAATTTTTTTTACTCACTTCTAAGTTTTAGCAGTAAAGAAATGCTTTTAATACTAACCTAGTATTTTAGCATTGCTTTTGCAATAAAAAAAAATTACGTTTTGAAACCCAAATACAATACTAAACGAGACTTAAATATAAAAGCTTTTTTACATATGCTGTTCGTATTTCTTTTATCATCTTCAAAGCAAAATTCAAATTGTAAAGACATAGAATTAAAGATCATAATTCAATTAGTTATTATGAGGAGAATTTAAATGCATGTTATATTTAGTATGCATAAACAAAGGCGGACTCAAATGGCAAAGATAAAAAAAAATAAAATAAAATAATAAAATTTGAAAAAATAATTTTCTTTGGATAATTTCAAAACTTTTTTGGGACACTTTTTTTATCTATAAAATTAATAAATTTGATAATAATTTTTTTATATATATTATAAGTAAACACACAAAAAAATCCTGAATCCGTTGTTGTGCATAAAAAATTTGTTATAAAAAATAATAAAATAAAATCCAACAGATATTATATGCTAAATGCTAATTCATAAGTCATAATATCATTTAATTTAACTGTTTTTACCATTTAACCACCATAATTTTTTTTTCTTTTGATTCAACACTTAAAATTAGAAAAAGTTTTACCGACATCACACCATATTTGAGAGTTATGAAAAATAATAAAATAAAAATCTAATAACTATTATATACTAACTTCTATGTTAACCAATTTTTAATGATCTTTTATCAATATAATAATTTTTTAATTCAATAATTATTAATATTTTTTTAAAAAAATCAACCGTAAAAAATATCAAAACAAATATAAATATTAATATTCATGCAACACTAATTTACCATAAATCAACATAAAAATTGCACTTATAAAACTCAAGATCCAACATATTCATAACAACTAAAACTAAAAAAATTACCAATGCAATAAGTTTTTAATTCAATAATTATTAAACTTTAAGAAAATAACAAATTTTAAAATTTTAAAAAGTTGAATTTCAATATAAAAACTAAAGAATA